TGTACTGTATTGTGTTGTACTGTGTTGTACTGTATGTGTTGTATGTTGTACTGTGCTGTGCTGTACTGTGCTGTACTGCACTGTGTTGTCTGTGTGTACTGTGCTGTGCTGTATGCTGTACTGTGTTATGCTGTGCTGTGCTGTACTATACTACACTGTGCTGTACTGTGCTGTACTATACTATGTTATACTGTGCTGTGCTGTACTGTGCTGTGCTTACTGTGCTGCACTCATAAATAACAGCATGCCAGTTTTATTATAACTTTGTCTCTTTCAGACTAAAATTATCACATAAACATGAGATTTATTTTATTGTGAATCTTTCAAATAGAAGCATCAATGGAAGGGCCAATCCCAGCTGGGGTCTTCCTCTCAACGACTTATGGACCAATTTGTCTTAAAAACTTTGTTAACATAAAGGTGCGTCTGTGTATATAGTAAAGAGATATATTTGTATTTTTTAAGACCTAAATTGTGTGTAAATGTTTTCAGTCTCCTGAGAAAAGAATAAAGTGTATGATTTTAATGATTTATACATGATGCTGCATTAAGTGATGTTAAAATTACTCATATGCTGTGTCTTCTTGTTAGTAACTGGGTGAAGTACCAAGTGTAAAGTTACTTCACCTCACATGAGAAAGTCAACACTTGGATCCTAACATTTTGTTGAAATAACCATCAAGTTATTTACTGAAGGAACTGTACACAACAACCATCAAAGATCACCAAATGCTATTACTGTAAATATTATGGTTTAGTAGCCTCCCACTAACATACCTTCACTGAGGTGTGGACAGTGTTCACGTTTGGGAATTGTTCCTGGCACTTGTGGATCAATCTTCTGTCACCACACTACGCCGATCAGCGTCCTCGATGGCGGTGTCCAACTCTGAAGAGAGTTGACTGTGTTGAGGCACTCCAGCACAGCCTGCAGCTGCTGCTTTTCTTCCTCTCCTTCAGTGCTCATATCCTCCACACTGGTCTCCTCCTGCTCCAAGTTCTTTTTGCTGCTTGTTATGTTCCAGCGAGCCATTCAGTCTGTCCTCAAGAAGGTTGTGTCCAGTTTTTAAATCTTTTACCTTCTTCCCTATTTTCCCAGCTGGGACAGTTTATCATCACAGGCAGTGATGAGGCTGATGACCTTGTTCATCTCCTCCTGCAACAAGGACCGTAACTTCTTGCTAATGCCTCTGGGTCCATCTTGAGGAGGTTTTGTTGGTGCCTTTGTTTGTGCTGGCTTGAGCGACACACCTTTAGTCTCATTGATTCCATCCCATAGTTTATGGAAGTTGAGTTACATCAGTAGGGCCAAAGTGTTGTGGTCAGCACGGCAGTTGGGACAGTGAACTGAGAGTTCTTTATCATGTCAACAATGCAGACAGTGCAGAAGGTGTGGCCACGGCAAACGCGGGCTCGAAGAGCTTCATCAAAGTTGTCAAAACAGACTTTACACTCTTCTGGCTTGTCGTTATCCTGTGAAGAAGAAGAGCATCTTGTCAGTGTATATTAAAACATCATGAGATGTACCGGTATATATATATATGTACTGTGTTTAGTAGTCTGGTCTACCTAACATGTGTACAGTAAATCAAGTGTCTAGATGCCTTGTCTTAGGTTCCTAACTGGTGTAAAGTCTACTCTGGTTTATCATAATTAAGAGTTTATTCAAGGAGTCCAAGTTTCTACTGTTCATATCCCACAACTATTCTGTCTACAGCGACAGTAATTACAATTGTCGCCCTGTTACATCAATGATCATTAATCCTGTAGAGGAGTCCGTCTTATTCATATACAGTGGGGTCTCATTTTCCACAGGTCTCACATGTGGTTATTGCTTACACTATAGATTGAAATAATGAAATGTGACCATAGTTATAGCTCTTGTGGGTAGTGGTACAGTGATATTTTGCTTATTTAGCACCAAATTTAGCCATTTTATTGGACATTATAAGAGCATACCATAAGCACAGAGCCACCCTGGGCCCTGCACTTCCAGGGCCCCGTGCTTCCTGGTTAGTAAGACATAAACTAGTAAAAGAAAGCTGTGCTGATTGGAAGCATTTTAGTGAAAACTACAATTTCATGAGTCATCAGATGAACATTTGATCACCTTAACCAAATGGATGGAAGTGAAGAAGGTTGTGTTTAATGAACACCATAGATACACTCATGTTACAAGACTTGAATAAAGAAAGGAACAGTGGTGATCGGTTCTTACACGTATTATAGCAGTGTGCAGTACCTAGCTGAGCACAACTCTGCTTTGGACAAGTCATCGAGTGTTGAAATTCTCACAATACCGACATAGCCAAGTCGTTTTCAGAGCTTGAGTACTGTTCTCCGAGAACTCATTCCCAAATAAACCAAAAATGCACTTCAGGTCCTTCAGTTTGTAAAATCTCTCAATGGTTCCTTCCTAATGCAGAAATAGAGTATAGGATTTTGTTGACAGTTCCAGTCACAATGGCATCAGGGGAGCAAAGTTTGTCTAAAGCTGTCTAAGGACAACTACTGTATACAGTATATGATGGATGACCTGCACGTCTTCTATGGATGCACCATGCCACCCTAACATATAGTTCTTGGTGGATGACGGCACGTCTTGTGGATGTACCATGGCACCCCTAACATATAGTTCTTGGTGGATGATCTTCTGTGGATGCACCATGGCACCCTAACATATAGTTCTTGGTGGATGACCTGCGTCTTCTGTGGATGTACCATGCCACCCTAACATATAGTTCTTGGTGGACGCGTCTTCTGTGGATGCACCATGGCACGACTTAAGCTCTTCAAGCTGCAGTATGAGGCCTCGGGGCAGTGAAATTTTGCTCAAAGCTGCACTCTTCAGGCATTGTTCCTTATACATATCTAAGACTCCATGCCAAATTTGAAGCTGATATGTCGAGGTTTAGTCTGCCGCATTTTCTACTGAAATTTTTAAATTTACCTACAGTACTAGCCAAACAGCCACTGTGGCGGTGCAATGTTCTGTTCAGTGTTTATCAACTTTTTTTCATATCTCTTATTTCATTTAAGTTGTCTTGTTGCAGATGAGTATGGTGCTATGTCTATATTGATTATCAGCCTTTTCTCATTTCATTTCTCAATTATGTCATCATGGTTGAGCCTGGCAATGAATATCTCACATGTGACTCCCAAGACTGGACAAGAAAGCAGATTGCCAAAACTATTCAGGTTTCTGGTGGAGAAAAATCTAACCCAGCAGCCCATTGTGTGTGTTGGTTGTGATGGAACCAATGTAAATGTAGGATCAGAAAATGGAGTCATTCATCATCTTGAAATGTTACTTGGTCACCGCTCCATTATTTCATATGTCGTCAGCTTCACGGAAATGAGCTGCCTTTCAGCAGTTTTATCACTATGATGGTAAACAAGTGGTCCTGAGCATTGGCGTGGTCCCATTGGAAAGCAGATCAAGGAGTCTTTGTCTGAGCTTCCAGTTGTCGCCTTCCAGCCAGTCAGTTTCCCTGATTTCCGTGTTTAATGATGAAGTGGAGAAAGATCTGTCCTGGGATCAGAAATACCTGTATAGGATTTGTAAAGGAGTTATCACAGGTGTTGTTGAAGATGACTTGGCTGCTATTGAGCCAGGTCCTCCTGTGTGTCAGGTGGAACACCTTATGGAGTAGAATCCTCAGGCTGTATGTACAACATCAAGACCCAGCCATGAGTTGAAAAGAATTGTCATTACAATAATAAAGTTCAGTGCTCCAATGTGGTTTACATCAAGATACACCCTTACGTAACCTACGGCTCAAGGAAGTATTCCAGTCCCTGCTATATAAAACACCTGAATAGTGAGGAGGAGACGATAGTGAAGAAGGCTGTCCAGAGAAATGCATACTTCGCCCACACAGATCAACTTCTTCTTGGTATGTGTGCAGATGAGGACATGACTGTTAGAGAAAAAGCTGTCTCAATGATAAGAAAATTAGAGAGGAGAATCAGCAAAAGGAAGAATGCACTGGCAGATCTGAAGAGGAGGAAGATTCTGATGCTGCTGTTGACGAGTTGTTAAACTATACTGATGAGGAGGGTAAAGCTGGAGATGGGAATGGGATGTGCCTCCTGTAGTCAACATGAGAAGGTGGTGACTCCAAACTAAGTGGCAAAAAAAACTATCATTCCATGATTAACTGGAGGAATGAACTCAAGACTGAGCCTCTTTACATTGCTTCTCTGTCAAATCTACAGGTTAATGACATTCTTGAGACACCATTAGTGGTGCCCAAGTGGCCAAACAGCACTCAGGCGGTCGAGAGAGGCATAAAAGTGATGACTGAAGCTTGCACTGAAGTGACGGGATACAGATCGAGAGATGGATATATTAGGCAAAGATTATTGTCTGGAAAATGATGCCAGGTTCGCACAAAAGATTTCAATATGAACTTGTAATGATTTTCTATACGGTGTACCTGTAAAATAACATGTGAATAAATCGATGTCACCCATGTAAAATTTATCATTATCCTGGAAAACATTAAATGACACCTAATTTTGGTATACACTAAAAGTTGACAAAAATGCGTTAGCGATGCGGCAGGGTAAGTATGCATGAAATGGCATGAAATTTTGCACAGGTGTTTGTTACAGCCATACAAACGATGCCTGAAAAGTGCAGCCTGCAACTCAAATAAAAGTGTTTTCCTGCCCCTAATGGTCAGTAACCCGCTGATCTCCACGAGCGCACTACGTGCATTTCAACGGCATCTCTGGTTTCTGACTGCTGAGATGGTGCCTCTTGCACTTTTCAGCAACAAGGTGCCAGCAGATGAACGTCGTACACTTGCCAACAGTCTCCTAGCAGTCAAACCAGACAATGAATCGTCCAAACCATCAGAACACTTTGGAATTGGATTTGGGAAGTCTAAATTTCCCGTCTACAGTCACTCTTTCAACAACGCTTGTTGACTCGGTTGATTGTGACTCCTGGTTCACATTCCATGCTCTTCAGCTCGACCTAAATTTCCTTGCATTAATGTTGAAGACTGGCAACTGTCTACTGCATACCAGGCATCTGCAATCAACCCGAAAGCGCTTAATGCCATCAATGACCGTGCCGAGCGTGGAATCGAGCTCGGTTCAGAATATCTTTCATCGGCCAAGAGAGAACACTCCCAGAATGTGCTCCAAGTTGTTGAACGGGACTTTAAGAAGCACCCGAACCTGCACAAGCGATGTTCAGTGTAACTAATGTGTTTAACAGTGTAACTAATGCTTAGATAGATGTCAGAATGAGAAATCTTATGTTAATGTGCCCTTATAGTGAGAAGTTAATTTTGTACAGAGAACTGTAGTGATCTCACAATAAACAATTAGTGATTGCTGATTTTTTATATACAGTCGGCCCTTAACATACGCGGGTTTAGCATACACGGATTTGCAAATACGCGGATTGCCCCGCCGGAGGAATATTCTGTACATTGAAATAATTGAAGTCCATTCAAATCACGCGCCATTCAACTCTCGCGCGGCACCGAACACGGGACACTGCCCGCTCCCGCAACCTCACACACACACACGCATACCTCTCCCTCACTCAGTCAGTCTCGCTGTAACCACGCTTGTGTTGACATCAGCATTGTAGTTGCAAAAATATTAAATTTCCATGAATGTATTATATCAAGCACAGTATGAATAGAATATCACTAATATAAGAGTATTTTAACCGAAAACTACTAAAAAAACGAGTAACATATCTTGAACATCGGAAGGTTAGGTAAAGTCTTTTGTTTTCATGTAGTTTATCCTAATTTACATTGAAATGCATTACGTTTCAGCAAAACTACTATTTATTTCTGAGAATATGGAAATGTAATATTTTGCTGAAATGACGTACGTATTACAGTGGAAAGTGACGAAAGCAATGACTCGCTTTCTTTCGTTCAAAAGATGTTACCGTAATCGCTTTTTGAATGGTTTTCAGTTAAAAAACTGTTGTATTGCAATAATATTCTATCCTAATTCACTTGTGATGCAACAGTTTTTTAACTGAAACCAAACACTGTACCAGTGAAGATGGTGGAGTATAAGCTATAAATGATAGAACAAACAACTGTACCAGTGAAGACGGTGGAGTATAAGCTATAAATGATGGAACAAACAACTGTACCAGTGAAGATGGTGGAGTATAAGCTATAAATGATAGAACAAACAACTGTACCAGTGAAGACGGTGGAGTATAACCTATAAATGACAGACAAACAACTGTACCAGTGAAGATGGTGGAGTATAAGCTATAAATGATAGAACAAACAACTGTACCAGTGAAGATGGTGGAGTATAAGCTATAAATGATAGAACAAACAACTGTACCAGTGAAGATGGTGGAGTATAAGCTATAAATGACAGAACAAACAACTGTACCAGTGAAGATGGTGGAGTATAAGCTATAAATGACAGAACAAACAACTGTACCAGTGAAGACGGTGGAGTATAAGCTATAAATG